TCTCACCACCCCATCCCTTCCCACAGGCACAGTGTCCATCGTGTGCCCATGACAACCAGCCTGGATTATCTCATAGGTCAGGCCCATGACCCAGCTTTGATCCCATGGGTCCCTTAGTCCACATTCTCAAGAGAAGAAAAGCTGTTTGGTGAAGCATCCAGCCCTGGTGGGTAGGGGTTATCATGCAATGCGGGTCTGACCCTATCTGCCAGCTAAGAGGTCAGCAGCCTATAGTTTCACAGGCGCTGGCAGAGAGGCACCAGCCTCCGGAGTCCAAGACCAAGAACTGCACTACTCACCAGCAACGGCCACATCCACACTTGTGCCAGTCCAGTGAGACCCAATTCCACAGGGCCACGCACAAGCCGGGGGTTGCATGACACAAGAGGAACCCCAGATCTTTCACAATGGGTAGTAAGCCTACCTGACCTCTGCCCTAGAGGGAAGCATTATCCTTGCTGCATGCTTGTACACAAACCCACCCTTTGCTCACTATACAAGCATCCTTGCAAAGACAGCCGGGAACAAAGGAGGTCAGTTCCTCTGCTCTTAAGACGTAAAGAAACATGACAGACCCCTGTCTCCCAATAATATCTAAATAAACAGACATATATACCGTGTTCATGGATTGAAAGATCCAATATTGCTAAAATGTCAATTCTCCCCAAATGAAATGTCAATACAACACAATCCCAATAAAAATCTCAACAGGATTTTTTTTTGGTAGAAAGTGACAAGCTGATTCTCAATTTATCTGGAAATGAAAAGAACTTAGAAATAGCCAAAACAACTTTGAAAAAATTAGATTAACAGTACCTGACTTTAAGATTTATTATGCAGTATAAGGGGCGCCTGGGTGGCTCAGTCGTTAAGCGTCTGCCTTCGACTAGGGTCGTGATCCCGGGGTCCTGGGATCGAGCCCCGCATCGGGCTCCCTGCTCCTTGGGAAGCCTGCTTCTCCCTCTCCCACTCCCCCTGCTTGCGTTCCCTCTCTCACTGTCTCTCTCTCTGTCAAAAAAATAAATAAAATCTTTAAAAAAAAAAAAAAAAGATTTATTATGCAGTATGGTATTGGCATAATGATACAAAAATGGATCCATGGAACAGAAGAGCGAGCCCAAAACCACACCCTCACATACACTGTCATGATTTTCAACAGAGATGCAGAGGCCATCCAGCGGAGAAAAGAGCCTTCACAACAAACAGCATCACACCAACCAGGCAGCCTTACGTAACACAAGAACTGGGACTCCCGCCTCTTGCCGCATGCCAATAGTAGTCCAAAATGGATCAGAGACCTGAATGTAAGATGCAGAATTATAGAACTATTAAAGGAAAACAAATTTAAAATATTTGTGAACTTGAGTTTGGCAAAGATTTCTACCCCAAAAGCACAATTCATAAAAGAAAAAGAATAAGTTAAACTTCATCAAAATTAAGACCCTGGGGTTCCTGGGGGCGGAGTTCGGTTAAGTGTCCAACTCAATTTCGGCTCAGGTCGTGATCTCAGAATCATGAGATTGAGTCCCATGTCCACGTCAGGCTCTGCGCCCAGTGGGGAGTCTGCTTGGGATTCTCTCTCCCTCTGCCCCTCCCCCTGCTCTCACTCTCACTCTCTCACTCTAAAATAATATATAAATAAATTTTTATTAAAAAAAATTAAGACGGCGCCTGGGTGGCTCAGTCCGTTAAGCGACTGCCTTCGGCTCAGGTCATGATCCTGGAGTCCCGGGATCGAGTCCCGCATCGGGCTCCCTGCTCAATGGGGGGTCTACTTCTTCCTCTGACCCTCTTCCCTCTCATGCTCTCTCTCAAATAAATAAATAAAATCTTTAAAAAAAAAAAAAATTAAGAACCTCCAACTTTCTTTGAAGATGCCCTTAAGAAAATGAAAAGACAAGCCAGAGGCCAGGAGAAAATATTTGCATTTGTATCCAATATTTGGATTTGTGTCCAGAATACACAAAGAATTCTCGATACTCAATTAAAACAACCCAATTTTTTTAAATGGGTGAAAGATATGAAAAGATACCTTATCAGAGAAGATACACGGACAGGAAATGAGCACATGAAAAGATGCTCAGCATTATTAGTCATAACAAAAATGCAAATTAAGGCCACAGCAAGGTAGCACTATGACCCTGTTGGAGTGTCTAAAGTTAAATAGAAAGACCATACAAGCACCAATGAGGATGCCCAGCAGCTGAACACTGACGAGCTGCCCCGGGGGTGTGCAAAATGGTAGCATACACTTACCACACACCCAAACATTCCACTCCCAGGTATTTACCCAAGAGAAGTGAGAGCATACATCCATGCAAAGACATACTAGAATGTTTATAGCAGCTTCATGTATAATAGCCAAAACCTGGAGACAACCCAAAGGTCTATCAACACCTGAATAAATAAAGCAATTGTGGTATACCCACAGCATAGAACACTACTTAGCAATAAAAAGCAGTCAACTATTAGTCCACAATAATAACATGGATGGATCTCAAAATAGTCACGTTGAATGAGAGAAGCTAGGCAAACAGAATACAAGATATATGATGTCAGGTATATAAACCCGTGGAAAATGAAAACAATTTATAGTGCAGAAAGGGGGTGAATTTGGGAAAAGGGGAGCAGAGGGGTGGGAGGGAGGGACCACCAAGGAGCACAGGTACCTCCTGGAGGTGATGCCCACCTTCACTCTCTTTATTGCAGTGATGATTTTACAGGTACATATTTACATTAAAACTTATCAATCGTTTGCCTTAAATGTGTGCAGTTTATTGTGTAGCAATTATAACTGAAAAAAGCTGTTACAAAAAATAAGCATTCACCACCAAGTAGAATTGAAGCTCAAACAGAGATCTACCTAAATTATGCGGAAATAAGGAAAGTCCATATTTTGCACACCTAAGTGAAATATGAACCTGCTAAATACATAGCGTTAAAAGTTATGATGAACAAATTGGGAGAAAATTTTAGGTTAAATTCGTGGTCAGACATTGACCATAACATATTTCTTGGTATGTCTCCTGCGGCAAGGGAAACAAAAGCAAAAATGAACTAGTGGGACTTCATCAAGATAAAAAGCTTCTCAGGGTGTCTAGGTGGCTCAGTTGATTAAGCGTCTGATTCTTGATCTCTGCTCAGGTCTTGGTCTCAGGGTTGTGAGTTCAAGCTGCACGCTGGGCTCCATACTGAGCATGGAGCCTACTTAAAAAAAAGAGAGAGAAAAAAAAGCTTCTGCACAGCAAAAGAAACCATCAACAAAACTAAAAAGAAACCTACAGAATGGGAGAAGATATTTGCAAGTAACACATCTGATAAAGGGTAAGTATCCAAAATATATAAAGAACAGATATAACTCAACCCAAAACACAAATAATCCAGTTGAAAATGGGAAGACATCAACAGACATTTCTTCAAAGAATACATCCAAATGGCCAACAGACACATGAAAAGATGCTCAACATCACTCACCATCAGGGAAATGCAAATCAAACCTACAATGAGATATCACCCCACACCTGTCAGAATGGCTAAAATCAACAACACAAGCAATAATAAGTGTTGGCAAGGATGTGGAGAAAAAGGAACCCTCATGCACTGCTGGTGGGAATGCAAACTGTACAACTGCTCTAGAAAACAGTATGCAGGGTCCTCCAAAATTTAAAAATAGAACTACTCTACGATCCAGCAATTGCACTACTGGATATTTAACCAAAGGATATGAAATCGCTAATTTGAAAAGATATGTGCACTCCTATATTTATAGCAGCATTATCTACAATAGCCAAATTATGGAAACAGCCCAAGTGTCCATCGACTGATGAATGAATAAAGAAAATGCAGTATATATATAGATAGATGTATATATACATCTATCTATCTATATATATATATATATACACAGTGGAATATTACTCGACCATAAAATAGAATGAAATCTTACCATTTGCAACAACATGGATGGAGCTAGAGAGTATCATGCTAAGTGAAATAAGTTAGAGAAAGACAGTATCACATGATTTCATTCATATGTGGCATTTAAGAAACAAAACAAATAAGCAAATGGGGGAAAAAAGAGACAAACCAAGAAACAGACTCAACTATAGAGAACAAACTGATGGTCACCAGAGGGGAGGTAGGTAGGGGATGGGGGAAACAGGTGATGGGGAGTAAGAGGACACTTATCTTGATGAGCACTGAGTAATACAGAGAAGTGTTGAATCACTACATTATACATCTTAAACTAATATAGTACTGTATATTAACTACACTGAAATAAAAATTTTTTTAAATAAAATATAAATTAATTAAGTAATTAATTAGTGGTCAGAGAGAAAATGAAACAGTAGAGAGAGCTTTTATTTCAGAGAAAACAAAAACTCCACATACACATAACACATACGTAACTTCAGAGCTGTAATCTCAGATTTCTTTTTCCCCACATTCCTTCACCTGACATTCAGAGCCCTAGACAACACACAGCGCTGTTTTGTCCACAAAGGGACAGGTGAATGCCCTTTACCAGCTGCTTTATAACATAATCTTTCTTTGGGGGTGCCGGGGTGGCTCAGTCGGTTAAGCATCTGCCTTCAGCTCAGGTCATGATCCCAGGGTCCTGGGATCAAGTCCCGTATCAGGTTCCCTGCTCAGCGGGGAGTCTGCTTCTCCCTTTGCCCCTCCCCCTGCTTGTGTGCTCTCTCTCTCTCTCAAATAAATAAAAATCTTCAAAAACAATAAAAATAAAAATAAATGTTTAAAGATAATTTTTCTGTGTGTCACAGAATCATAACTACACTGAAAGCAGTACTTCAGAAGCAGAACTAGAAATAACCTAGCACACCACCGAGTTCTCTATAGTTTGAAATCTGTTTTTAAAGAATGCTAACACCTTAGGACAATCAATCCCAATATTTCTAATACTTTACACCTTCCTCTGGCCAGAGAGAAACAGGTGCACCCGCGGTACGAGAAGATTTACAGGGAAACCCTCTCCTCACCACTCAAAAGCCACCACAGCAGCGGGATGAATCCCGGGCTCTCGCTGATGTACTTCAAGCCTTTCAGGTTGATGCTCACGTTGTACAGGGACATCAGCAGTAACCTGAAATGGAAAGGAGACAGGTTGAGATGATGCCCCACGTGAAGTCTCACCCTAAATACTCCTGCTGGTGAACAGGGCTTCCCTACACTGCAGATGCCCCATTCTGCAGGCTGGGTGACAGGCACCATAGGCGGGACGTACGTGAAATAATACCGCTCCCTGGGATGTTACAGGAGAACTGGAAGCTCCGGCAAGGGGTCCACAGAAAACCACCTCGTAGAAGTGCACATAATCAAGGGACACAACTGCAGAGAGGGTCCCACAGGAAACCTCAAGACCAGATTTACCGAGACCACTCCTGCATTTACACACAGGCGGCCCTCGCTTCATAAGTATACTGTGCTCTAACAGTTCAATTCAGCTGCTTACAATTTAATCCTATCTTTTCATTCAATGAACATTATCCATGATGTCTGGGTAGCCGGCGCAGGCCATGTAAGTGTGTTTAATCCACAGCATCAGGGACAAAGAGCACCACAACCCCAACCATCTCTAACAAGCAACAAGACAGTATCCAGAGTTAAACAGGATCTTACAAGCTATCTTCTTTTTTTTTTTTTTTTTTTAGAGAGAGAGAGAGGCAGAGGGAGAAGCAGGCTCCCAAGGAGCAGGGAGCCCGATGCGGGACTTGATCCCAGGACCCTGAGATCATGACCTGAGCCGAAGGCAGTCGCTTAACCATCTGAGCCACCCAGGCGCCCAGGATCTTACAAGCTATCTTCTGAACTGACCACAACTTTACAGTAAGTTAGAGTCTAATGAAAACTGAAAAACTATCAGACAAGGTTTCTAACATAACTGTAGAATACAGAGATCCCCAAACTTCACAGTGCAAAGCAATTTTTTGAAAAAAGACTATACAAAGATTTTGCAAACCCCTGAAAGAATGGAAGAGCTTGCAAGAAGTGAAGGGAAAGCATTCCTGATCAAGAACTCGGTGAGAGCAAATTCAGGGAGACCTGCGCTAAAGAGGATAGATTCCTGAATCACACAGCTTCAGTGCAACAGAGTGGCTTCGTGCAGAGGGACAGAAGGAAAAGCCTCAGACCAACGCAAGACAGGGACTCAGGTCACAGACCCCCACACAAAGCTAGGGAAGAGTAAGCTTTCAAGCTTGGCATGAATCCATACTTTCTGTATGGCCTGAAAATCGACAAGCCATGTAATTTTAATACAAAGGAGAGCTGGGAGGGGCACCTGGGTGGCTCAGTCGGTTAAGGTCTGACGCTTGTTTTCAGCTCAGGTCATGATCTCAGGGTCGCGAGTTGAGCTCACACACTAGGCAGGGAACCTGCTTAAGATTCTCCCTCTTCCTCTGTTCCTCCCAACCTCTTTTTTTTTTTTTTTTTTAAAAAAAAAGGAGAGGTGGGATAGGAGCTCCTCCAGCTGCCTGGCCAAAGTAAACATCCTCTTGAAGGAAGGACCCTCAATCTGATCTTCAAAGAATTCCCACAAACACAGTACTAACAAATGGGAGTTCATAACAAAAATCACAAAATCATGAAAACCAAGACCCATAATCAACAGCACAAAAAACCAATGAGAACCAAAATTTAAAAAAAGAATGCTCAGATACTAGAAGTATCATAGAATAGAAAATGGGTATGTTTAGTAGGTACAAATAACATAAAAAGAAATTCAAAACACCATCAAGGAGCTACTGAGTATTATAAATGTCTAGCCAATTCAAAGGAGAACCTAGAACTTATAAAAAATGAAACTGTAACAATCATACAATGAAAGTTTGGGGAAACTGACACAGGGGCAGGAGGTAAGGACAGGTACCAAACAGAGCAGGAGCAGAGCACAGGTGTGGGAAGGAGGAAGCCCAGACAGGAGGGACTACAGCTGGGGCCACAGCCGGGATACCACACCTCTGCAAGGCAGCCACGAAGAGGCCCCGTGGACAGTGGCAGCTGAAAAACCAAGGATGGGGCACAGATTCTGTTGATCACCTCAGGGTAGCCAGGGTTTTTTTTGTTTTGTTTTTTTTTAAAGATTTTATTTATTAATTTGACAGAGAGAGAGAGAGCGAGAGCAGAAACACAAGCAGGGGGAGTGGGAGAGGGAGAAGCAGGCTTCCCGAAGAGCAGGGAGCCCGATGTGGGACTCGATCCCAGGACCCTGGGATCATGACCTGAGTCGAAGGCAGACGCTTAACGACTGAGCCACCCAGGCGCCCCAGGGTAGCCAGGGTTTAAGAGTCCGGTAAAGCTAACTACCTGCTAGGACAAACACTCAATCTCTTCAGGAAAAGGTAACAGAATCCACAGTCAATGAAGATCTGCAACATCCAGTGTAGGACCGAACAGTTAACCAGCGGAGCCCCCTGGGGTGCAGAGAGTAAAGCACTTGCTTTGGGGGCAAATCTTAAGGGGCGCCAAAATATTCAGTAGCCAGATTCTTTTAAATGTATTGTAAAGCAAATTTTTAAAAAATCAAAAGTACTGCAAAAATTCCATAATAAGCACTTGATCAAAATTTTAAATAAAGATGGGATCAGTAACAGTGTCATGCCAAGACACATTGGAGCCTGAGGCAAAAAAAATCAATAAGTGGTTCAGTCCACTAACAAGGGTCTGATTAAATAAACTGTGGTATATGCATACATGCATGCCACAGAAAGTGCTTGTTAGGAGTTTTCTGTTGAAATAGCTGGTTTCTTTTTTTTTTTTTTTTTTTTTTTAAGATTTTTACTTATTTATTTGACAGAGAGACAGCGAGAGAGGGAACACAAGCAGGGGGAGTGGGAGAGGGAGAAGCAGGGTTCCCGCCGAGCAGAGAGCCCGATGCGGGGCTCGATCCCAGGACCCCGGGACCACAACCTGAGTCGAAGGCAGACGCTTAATGACTGAGCCACCCAGGCGCCCCGAAATAGCTGGTTTCTAAGTGCCACAGCTTATTCAGGACCTGGGACACGGTAAGCACTCAGTTTAAATATGGAAAGTGAACCAATCCCCAGCGACTGAAAGCCTCAGCATGCAGAGACAGTCTTTCTCTCCCTATTTTGATGGGCATTTTCAAAGTAAGGCAATGCTACCAGGTTCAAGAAGACAACACTAGACTAGCACCCTCCAGAGCGGTGATGCCCACTTCTCAGACTATGATCCTCAGCCTCCTCACAGGCCACAAAATGAACCAAACTTGTCAATCCTTTCCTGTTTTCCTGACAATTTTTACACATATCCAAAATCTATTCACTAGTAATCTATTTCATGAGTTATTAAGAGCAGTTCAAAGGTCGTATTCATGAGGAAAATTCAGCCCTTTAACTACAGCTTTCTGAGGCCTCCAATCCAGGATTCTAAGAGAGAAGTTCTTACTTCTGGTCACCAACTCAGGGAGGTGGGGTCCTTAAAATGCAATGTGCTGTCCACACAGCTTCGTGCTACAAGAGCAGGGCTGAGTCACTGCTGCAGAGACCGGATGGCCCCCAGAGCCTGAAACAGTCTCTATCTGGCCCTTTACAGAAAAGGTTTGCAACCCCTGACTTCAAAAATGAAAATAAAGTTAGCTAATCTTCAAAACTTAAAAGGTGAAATTAACATTTGAGTGATAACTGGAATACGGGGCAAATTCCAGGAAATACATCCAGTTGAAATTCTTCACTGATTGCCACTCAACTTTAAGGGGGCAAAAATGACTCACAAAATTGATAAATGTCTTTAAAATTCATATTTGGTCAAAGTCAGCCATCATTAAGAAGCTAGAATGGAACAAAGGTCATTGCAGTGACCGCAGAACCACCCAAGACCGCGTGTCATTGCCAGGCCACATCTCACAGAAGACCAGAGATGGCTCCAAGGTCGCAGAGGACTTAGCAAACAGCAAACCCAGAAAACTTTCTATTTCTTATTCAAGTGCTTTCTGTTCCAAGATTTCTATCCTAACCACAAATATTTTGTAAATAATTTATCAAGTTTCCAATTGCAAAGTCAAGAGAAACTGCACAGTCAATCCACTTTTCTGGCACAGAGGTATTAAAAGTAAATGTCATTTCCCAAACTACCATAGTACTAGGAGTCAGACTTTTTCTTCCAATGACCAAAAAGGTAGGCAAATTCTGCTTCCTCCCATGAAGCTAAGCAGAAGATTTGTTATGAACGGATTTACGGGCTCCAAAAGGCAACTTGCCAGGCTCTATGACCTTGAGAATTGCAGATACGTCCAACATTGACAATGAAAGGACAGAAAGCAAGGCTAACATAAAGATTCCAGCAAACCTGAAATGCTACAGAAGCAACACAAGAAACTCTCTTTCAAGGAAAAGGACACTGTCTTCACCTAGCTATAGCAGGCCTGGGGCTGAATGGATTGGCCTGGTGAGAAGTCAGAATGCTGTCCTGATGCTCTGACCAACAAGGCTGAGTCATGCTACTGAACTCTTGTATTCATCTTGAAAGAAATTACAACTGGAAGCAACAAAGAACAAACACACCTGGTACTTCAAAACAAGCTATGAAAATAAACAAAGAGGTATAATTGTGATGTCTACCCTCCAGAAACAAAAGCCACCAACCGGTCATCTAGATGAAAATATGAAGTAGCAAAATTACCACCATCAAGTAACGCTAAGGAACAATGAGCAATAAAATTCTTACAAAAGACTGCATATGTTATTTGAGAGAGAAGCAAATAGAGCAATACAACCAGACATTTCAGACCAAATGATGGACAGAACCTGGCAGTTAGAGGCCTACCAATTTTTTAAAAGATTTATTTGAGAGAGAGAAAGAGCGAGCACATGCGCAGGGGCAGAGGGAGAGGAACAGAGAATCCCAAGCAGACTACATGCTAAGCATGGAGCCCAACGTGGGGCTCAATCCCAAGACCCTGAGATCATGACCTGAACTGAAATCAGGAGTCAGACGCTTAACAGACTGACCCACACAGGCACCCCTTTTTTTGAAATTTAATTGAGCATTTACTATGGGCCAACTATAGGAGCAAGTGCCTGTCCTATTAAATTTTGTTTTTATTTAAATTCGTTAACGTACAGT